ACACACACACACACACATTCAAGACCAAGCTTGGAAGCAGCCGTTTGACGGTGTTAATAAAAGGTTATACCAGCCTATTGTCCATCTAATGCAAGTTTGGGATAGTTGAAGCCCAACACTTCTTACTGACCTAGAGTTTGCCAAAAGATCCAGTATTGATAGTATTTAAGTTACCTTTAGGTTTGACTTTGAACCTAATCTCTGAATCAGGTAGCGTAAACATAAGCTAAAATATTCCCTCCTGCATTAAGACCCATGTTGTCGAATGTTTTGTGACAAGTTATATTTTCATTCCACATTTATAGAACTAAAATGGCTCCCCCTGCTTTTTGCTTTTTATCCAATCAAAACCTATGCTACAGCACGCGGTACGAGAATGTTGTTTTCCTGGCCATAAATGAAAAGAAATGTAACGTCTTACCTTTGTTGTAGTTTGTTTTCTGATTACTTGACCGTCGCTCAATAATAAACTCACGGTTTAAGAATTGGATGGTTTTTTACTATTCAGTTGTGTTGGCTTATCTCTTGATGAATGAAACGGATATACGAGTGCACGGCATGTGAAGATCTAGACCTGAAGCTGCATGGACCGCCTGTAGTTCGCTACGATGATCAATATTAATGTTAAATAACGCAAAAAATAACTCTTTATATACAGCTGGGTGTTTGTATTTTTAGATATTACCTCCCATAGCTAAGAGCTATCAAAAAGCCAGATTAAAGGCTTGCAAAACATATTTGCACTTAAAGTTAAAACCTTAATCCTCTGAACACTTAAATTTTCTAATAAATAAGCTGAGGTTAAATTTATTATTGATAGCTTTTTTATTAATTTAGTTTAGATCTGACGAGGTTCCGAGGACACTTGCCTTGACAACTATAATGCAATACACAACACGCTCAATATTGGGATGCGTTCTTCAACATTTTTATCAGTAAACCMTATAAATTTCGATTTCAATTTTCTTTATGTCGCCGAGGAGGCTCATTGAATTTGGAAAACCATAAAAATAGCAACAGTCTGTCAGAAATAATTTGAAATTAAATAGTCTTTATGTGTATCATTTGACATTTTTCATCTGTTATGTACATGTACAGTATTACGTACATTTTGATACTGTAGTTGTACAGCACTTCAGGCCGTTCGAAGGCATTGTTCGAGCCCAGCCCGTCATTTGAAGTTTTTGATGGGCAATATATTAAAAAAAACACTTTTCACTTCTTTAGGGCAAAATATCTCCGAAACCAATTGAAGTCAACTTCCATTTTTCTTCGTCTTAAAATTAAGATCCTATCATTTGTAATGTACATGTACACTATTTCATTTTTATGTTGTATTTGTACGACACTTGGTAATTTAGTAACATAAAATAAAAGAATAGTACACTGAGCCATCCTTCATCTGATTGACATCTTATCAGATAGATAGTTTAATAGGTATCATCATCAGAACTACTCATTTAATAAATGTTCAGATCTAACGAAATAAAGGCGCCAAAAAGCTTTTAGAAGATCGGGCAAAATATTCGGACCGCACTTTCAATAAGGAAGTTCGAGATATATATGATAGGTTAATTTTCATTTTCCAGCTCTGACAAAAAAGCTTCACATAAAAAAATTCCTCAACTAGTTCTGATGACTGTACTTTGCTTAAGATATGTATGTATGTATGTATGTATGTATGTATGTATGTATGTATGTATGTATGTATGTATGTATGTATGTATGTATGTATGTATGTATGTATGTATGTAT